GCTCTTTAATAACATGTACCTCTAGCCCCTGCTCCGCTTGTGCCAGCAACTCTTTTTGAGCAATTAAGAAGTCTCGTAACATATTTGTTATTTTCTTTCTAAGTTCAACTTCGTTTCCTAATCTGTTATTGTAATCGTTGAGTAATGTAACGGCGTCATTTACTTGCTTACTAAGGTTTTCTGCGGTTGTTCGGTCTACATAAAAAGTAAAATTTATTACTGGCTTATAAATTTTAGAGGAAATTATGCATACCTTGAATATTACTAACTAAAGATACTTCAGAAACTTCTCTAGGTAACTGTGCAATTTGTTGTCGGACAACTTCATCTGCTGAAGCAGTATTGCTTTCTAAGTCTTGCATCACACGAATTAATTCTTCAGGTTCAGGAGGATCATTGGCTGGAGTCCTAGGACTTAAATGAACATGTGTCTCAGTAATACCATCCACCTGAAAAAGAATAATTTTTAAAAGGATTAACAAAATTTATACTTTTAATACCTCTATTATGACCTCATTTTCTGATTTTTTCCTCTCCCTTTCATCACTAGAATGATTTTTTGATTTCTTTTCTTTTTTCTCTGGAGGATGCACTTTATGTTTTTTGCTAGGGGGCTCTTCTTCTAATAAAACTAGAATTTTCAGAAATTAGTAGCTAATAGTTGGTTGATCATGACCATCTAAATATTTCTAACAATTGACTTACCCAATGATTTTCCAAATTCTGCAATTTGATTTTCATCATATATTCCTCTCTCACCCCATATAGTCAATAACCTACGTAAACTATTTCTAGTTTTCTCATCACAACCAATTTCTACTAAATGATCAAAAGCTTTTGTTAACACATTAGCAAATTCTTTTCCATATTCTGGGCCCTTTTTCCTACTGTTTTGAATAACATCATTTGCAAGATACATGAACGTTAATTTTTTCGTTTCTTTAGCTGAAAACAAATAGGAAATATTAATTATTAGCATCTATTGTAAGGTTACTGCCTGACTTACTTTTTAGTAATTCTCTTAACCATATTTTAACTACAGGTTCGTGATGTTTCCTATGATGAATGAGCCACAGTGATAATGTTTGAATACTTTGGGATGAGTTATTTAGATCTAACAATTTTTTAACGAACGCACTTTCAGTAAATCCAGCCATAACCATTAGTTTTCTTCTTATTTGCTTTTTGCAATCTAATATTTTTATGCACAATTCATTATAACTATTATTAAATATGGTTATTCAATTTATTAACATAAACAGTGCACATTAATTAACATAAAACAAAACTGAAAACCCGCAGTCGAAAAAAAAATATATTTTCGATCTTTTACTGTATTTAACACTAGTAGAGTTACACCTGTCACATAGATAATAGCTGTCAGGAGGACCAAAGAGAATTGAATGTCAACATCAATCGCAAATGTCCTTGTTGTTACCGTGTCTAATCAATCCCTAACTTTTATATTCCTAAATTTATTTCTTTAACTATAACAGCCTAAGTAATAGTTGAAGTGATAATTTTAAATCATAAAATTAAGCTAGATGGTTCATAATTTCTAGTAATATTATTATTCCACTTAATATATATTTTTGTTTACTAAATTCTCTCGTATGTTTGGCCACTGCGTACAGAATTTGTAGTTTACAAGTTATATGTCAAACATCTTGATTTCGTGATTAGAAATTTTACCGGTCGACCTGAATATATGTAATTTTATGAAAATCTGTAACTACAAATATGTTTCGGGCAGTTTCGCGGTCTGGTATACTGAAGAACGCCCTTAAAATAAGTTCCGGCGTGTATTTAGTGCAAAACGAAGGAAAGGCCGTGCTTAACCTAACCTCTGCACACATTTCGAAAGCCTTTTTTTCTGATTCGAAAGAAGTTAAACCAGCCACCCCTTTAGCAAATTTATTGGGCAAGGAAAACATACCAACTGCTGACAAAGAAAAAAAGGAAGAGGAAGACGAACAGAAACAAAGGGACGCAGCATGGCGTACAATGAAATACACGTTTATTGCTTTCGGCTTTTCATTTACAGTTTTGGGTGGGTATTTAGTATTTGAGTTAGGTAAGCCTGTTATTGGTGAAGATGGGTTGCCAGTGCAGGACGAATTTGCACATTTAGCTCCCTGGAAACAATACCTTTATCGTACTTTAAAAGAATTGGATTACTACAAGCGTCTTATCAAAGAGCCATCAAGAGACAAGTTGTTGCCAGATCCACTTAAATATCCGTACTATCAACCACCCTACACGTTAGTTTTAGAATTAACTGACCTGTTAGTTCATCCTGATTGGACTTATCAAACTGGTTGGAGATTCAAAAAACGTCCTGGTCTTAATCAGTTCCTAGAAAGTTTGACCGGACTCTATGAAATTGTGGTGTATACTGCAGAACAAGGAATGACTGTCTTCCCCCTTATGGAGGCTTTAGATCCAAAAAATTTAATTTCTTATAAACTTGTTAGGGATGCTACACATTTTGTAGATGGGCATCATGTTAAAAATTTAGACAAACTTAATCGTGATCTTTCAAAAGTTATTGTTGTTGATTGGAATATGGATTCAGTTAAATTTCATCCAGATAATGTCCTGAGAATCCCTAAATGGGTTGGTAATGATGATGATACAACTCTGTTTGATTTGGCTGGATTCTTACGCACAGTAGCGACATCCGAAATAGATGACGTCCGAGACGTTTTAAAGTATTATAAGGAGTTCGATGATCCTTTAGCAGTGTTTAGGGAGAGGCAGAGAAAGTTAATGGAACAGCAAGAAGCTGAGAGGGAGGCTAAGAAGCTACAAACACCGCCACCAGTTAAGCGCTGGACACCCAGTATATTCAATAGATCGTTTTAGTTTTGCTCTTTATTAATTGATAAGCTTGGGCAAATGATAATATTTAAACAATTGATTGCCATTAATTTTTAAATTACGTATTTAGCTTTTTTGTAAATACTCTATTTTGTATAAAATGAATGAAAGTTGCATTAGAGTGAAAGAACTGTTTGACTAAATATAATCAGATTTGACTCGCATTGTCTCAAAAAAGTTGCTAAATAAAGTTTTTGTTTTTTTAACTATTTTTTTTAAGTTCATTCCTAGTATTACTTTCTCGCTTTGTACTTCAGCCGTATTTTTGATGAGAATACATTCTATTGTTTATTATTAAAGGATTAAATATAAAAATAAAATTTAATTTCCAATCGGAATCATCAATTTATTAAAAAAAAAAGAGGGGGCTGAAGAGCTACTATTAACGTTAACGGCTGTAGTGCCTGTTGTTACGTCCAGTTCGTACTGTATGTACTATCCAGTACCAAGTTCTATCTATGGTATATATAGAAAGGTCGTGGTCAAATGAACAGTTCATAATAAATGCGCAGTTTGGTGTAATATTATTGTTTATGATTGTGTGATTTTTATTGTTTTTCGCTGTTTTATTTACCTATTAAGAAAATTCACAGTTAATTTGTACGATAGTCAACAGTCAACCAATTGATCACTTTCAGGCTCTTTAATAACATGTAAGTAAAGATGATGAATCAGCGCATTGTTGATGGTACAATCATTTCTGTTTGTTTACATACAAAAAGAAAACAAATAACAGTATAATTGTTATTTAATTTTGCAGGCTTTCTAATCAAAATGTCTGAGGAAGATGCATTACTTACGCAAAGCTTGAAAAAGCTAAAAATAGAGTCTTTTAACGTAAATAGGTTGCCATTAAATTCTAAATCTGAAAACGGTGCTTTAGATATAAACACACCAATGTTAAGGAGAAGATATAAATCCCTGTCGAATCTAGAAAAATGCGTTTGTGGTAAAAATAATTTTTTACACGTCAAACCTCTGCCTTTTAAGAAGTCAACTGCCAAAAATAAATTAATCCGTGATCCCATATTGAATTTTGTAAAATATTCTAATGACAAATCCAGATGTGATTTAGAAACAAAGTGTGGAACTGATAAAACGTTTGGTGAATGCTCAATGTCCAAAGAGCAGGACTTCAAGTCGTTAGTACAAGCTTGTAAGAGAATCAGTTTATCATACAAGACTGCTAATTATGTACAAGGTTATTCTACTAAGAGTTTTCGTCAGCATAGGCTTACCAAAACTAAAATTGAGAAAGCCGAAGAACCTCACTTAAGCAATACTTGTGCTCATCAAGCCCGCTTAAATATGTCCCCACCTTGTGACGTTAGCATTGATGAACTTGCTAGTTATTTTGAAACTTTTGTGCATATTCCTAAAAAGATGAGTGTTATGGCTGAAATGATGTATATTTGATCCACTTTTGTTTGGAAAATGATATTTTTTGATAAACGATATTACATATGTATATTTATTATTTTAGTAGATTCTCTTTGCACTTAATGAAAATTATTGTTAGTATGGAATACCGTTTTTTTTTAAGTAATACCTTGCATGATTCCAATAAAAAATGTTTGTTCATTGACATTTTCAATAAGTTTGTATTTGTGAGTAAAAAAACTATTAAGATTACTTATGATAATTTACTAATAATTGATACTCTTTAGAAGTTGATCTGTACAATAAATTGTTAACTGCAATTTTTGTTTTATATCTTTTTGTACCAAGTATTCAAGTCTTTATCAGTAATGAATTAGTAATTTAAGTTTCTTAACATTTGTAAGGGGCGCTGACAGGATTTATCTCTCTTATTTTAAGAATGAACCTTTTCATTATTGATGAAAATTTCAGAACTGATGTCAGTTTATCATCTCGGATCGTACGTTCAAAGACTGGTTCCCGTCATGTCTCAGAAGACGCCCTTGTCTCTTTATTTGTTTATTGAATTCTTACTATTTTCTATCCGCGGTACTTTCATCTTCTTATAACTTTAACAATAAAATTTTAAGTCCTCAAAGTAATCAAGAATTAATATACTCAATTGACAACTATCTTGAACTTCGCTTTTGTTTGATTGTTAATTGTTATAATTTGTTAATATTCGTGTTTATTTTAATGTTGATAGTGAATGAAATGTTTACGTCTTTATTTTGTATGTATTTTTCTTTATAACTTGTGTTAAAATATCAAGAAAATTCCTTTTAAAGTAGTCCACTGTAGGAATGCATGTATTTTCGTGAAGTTTTTGTATTGCGCGAATATCATCCATACGTGCATTTAATTTTTGAAGAAGAACATTAATGATTTTTTAAACCTATTCTGTGATTAGTAAAATAAGCCAACAATGTATTTTCCGAAAAAACCTACTGAGTATTCTAGGCGTTAATGCTTAAGTGAATAAGAGGTTGCCTAATTTAGTAATACAACTGCAGAGTATTTTTTCCGGAAAACGCGTAGGCAGTTTTCCAAGCGTTAATGCTTGGGTGAATAAGAGGTTGCCTAATTTGGGAAAATTCAATTTATATTATTTAAAATTTAATATGTATCGTTTAATACAAATTATAAAATTACCAATATGGTAATATTAAAATGTATGATGATATGACATATGACGTTCTTCAAATTTTATAATAATATTTTATGCGGTGCATATCTTTATTTTTTCTTATACAAAAGTTGAAAGCTGTGTTTTCCTTTTGATGCCAGAATTTATAGGTACATATCCAAATTAAATTTTATTGTAAATATTTTCGTAGTTCTAACTGTCTCAAAATTGATCAATTTGATTCTCCTTCGAATATTATAAATAGTCGTAATAACAAGAAATCATTTTCGTACGGTATCAGATGCTGTTTTGCATACTGTGAAACTGGTTATGGGTTTATCCTTTAAACCTTCTCACCTATGTCCTTTTTTTTATACATGGTCCATATTAAGGTAACTACTTTAATACTTCTGATTGTATCAAAAGTCGGCGAACGGATTTTCTTTCAAATAATTATGTATAAATGTCCGTAAAAATAAGAAAATGGATTTATACAGCATCAAATGTTTTGTACAGCGTGAAACTGGCTGTCCTTTTGACCTTGTCACCGCGCATCCTTTTCGTGCTCGTAATTCATGAAAAGCTCGCAATTATTAGTGTGGCTTGGTACCGGCGTGTATGAATTGTGTCGATTAAATTATTGATTAATAGTGAGTTAATCGTTTAAAAACAGTTTTGTGCAACGACAGAAAAACATTTTTCCATTGATTGTAAGTGATTAACACACTTCAAGTAATAATGACTGGAAAACAGGATAAATAAAGGTAGGATAGCTGATTAATAACTCCATTTTAGTTGTATATCTTCTTGACCGATTTTATCTATGTATTTATATCATCCAATGTGTAAAATGACTAATCGTAAGACAGACTAAGATGGTTATGCGAAATAAATTTACTGAAGAAAATATTTTTACTCTTTCAGCAAAACAAGTTACAAATATTATTTTACTACATTAATTTTAGTAAATAAAAAGTTTAGTTTTTACTTAGAGCGTTTTTGAAGTACTCTTATTATTGATAAATTATAGTTAAATCATTTTCTAAAATTTGTCAATTTGAATTATGAGAAAACCTAACTTTTTTCAATTGACAATGATTTAGTAAAGTTTATTATATCATATCTTCCTTGAGATGGGTTTGTTTTATCACTTTCTTTGATGGGTTTCAAAATGAAAGAGTAACATGAAAATCATGTAAAAAAATAATTCTGGAGTGAAGGGAAGGAAGCAGAATTTAATAATATCTGTTGCAACACTTTTCCTTTTATGATGGTTTTCTACCTATTGCTCTTTTAGGACAGGCTTAAAAAATAGGGGTTGATATGATGAAAATAAATGTAGTAAAATAAAAATTCTAAAGGAGGAGGAAGTATTACAATTTGATAGATAATATGTTTTGTAACACTTCCTCGAATGGTATGAGTTTAAAAAATATAAAATTAAATTTAGTGGAAATAAGTAGATCACATGTGGAAATACAATTTATTTAAGAACTCATCAGTTAGTAAAGGTTAATGTCGTAATTAAGCGTACGATGTACAGGTCATTTGTTCTGATGGTCCCAATTCTTCCATTTTAAAAGGTAGTGGTGTAGCATTTGGGCTGCTAGGTGGAGATGAGTCCTTTATATGAATAACTAGAGGTTGTTGTTGCAATTCGTTTTTCACCTGGGAATGTCCAGTTAAATTGGCATGAGCTTTTTAAATATTTTCATGCAGAAAATTGTTTTCGAACTTCTTAATTAAATATTGAAGAACAAAAAGAATTAATACCTCATTAAATTCCACAAAAAATATTTTGTCTAATACAACTTCTTTTTAACAAAAAAATTGTTTAATTTTATATCTTGCTACTAAAAATTTAAACTACTTCTAACTGAATAGTTAGTCTCTTTTTGTTGAATAAATTTTTTTTTAAAATTTCGTGACGTATTAATTTTTGCTTTGGACAATAATTTTACATAAACTCTTCTTTATGTAAATAACTTTTAAAATATTTATAAAGTAGGTATTTCTTATAATATTTTACTATGCAGAAATCGTAATTAATGTTAAGTTATGTGGGTAGGTATTATTATTTCTGGTGGATACATGCAAAGCTGTAAGCTAAAGGTACAAACTGTTTTGCTTTATTTGATTAAAAAGGAAGTTTTAAAATTTGCTTTCACCTGATCGTGAAACTGAAATGATCTTTCAGTAACACGATTTATTCCTGATTTTGTGAAAACAGATGATTCCTTGACACCTTATATTGTCTGATATTTAAAGAGTAGATTTAAGTGCACACAACCTTTCAATTCCTAATCATATCAAAGATCAATAAAGAGGTAGCCAAGGAAATCCGATTCTTTTATAAACAAATTCTTTCTGAATTGTTATGCCTTCTAGTTGCACTTGTTATTTATTAGGGCTGTTGTCAAATGTTGTCGGCCATTATACTTTTTAATTGTTGACATATTGTTGCGACTATCGGCCATTATAGTTTTAATTTGTTGCCGTTGTCGGCCATTATATTTTTTAATTGTTGACACATTGTTGAGGTTGTCGGCCATTATTATTTTGCATTTGTTGTCGTATGATTGGTTGTCGGTCATTACACATTTTTTGACGTAGTCTTGTTATTATTATAATTATTGTAAGGGATCCATGTTAGGATTTATTATTATTAAATCGAAAACAACAAAATAACACGCATAATGTTATAAAATAAGTACTTTATTTATTTTTTGTACGTAGGTAATTAAAGCTGTGATGACATGCAGTTGTTCTTAAAGCTATTCATGCATTGTAAATACTAAAAATAATGATGATGGTGTCATTGCCTAAAATTGCATTAAATCATGCTCTACATTATTACTCCCATGCATCAGATTATGATCATACGAGAATTTAGCGTTAGAGAGCGTTACTTCACTGATGCTACTTAACGGAGCCAATTGTCTTAAATTACTCACATCATCGTTGTCGTTCTTGTCTGTGCTACTTTTTTCTTCTTCTTCCTCTTCATCGTCCTCTTCCTCTTCGTCTTCAATCATTGTACAAAGAACAGGTCTTTCTTCTGGAGTGTCCCATTCTAGTTCACTGGCGCTATCTAAATTCAGGTGTTTACAAAAATTAAAAAAAAATTATTACAATTTTGGTACTTTTTAGAAAATTAACATATGTTATGTGAAAAAAGGTAGTAAACAAATTGGTATTATTTTTTTCAACAAACCTCTGAAACTTATTCTTTTCTCCTTTACTTTTGTTGGGGTAATAAGGGGTAAAGGTTCGTTAACTGTAAAGTCTTGATCTTTAGGAATTTGTATTTGGACACCATTTCCGTTTGCTTTTTCTTCAGAAGGAACTTCGTTTACAACTTTTCCATTTTGAACTGGTTTACTAGCAGGAGGTGCTTTAACATCCGCTGCCTGAAAATGAAAATCATTAAATTCAATTCCTCTTCAATTCAGTATTGTGACCATCAGATTTTGTAAATTTTGTACATAATTTTGGTCCAAATACTTTGTAAACTTCTCAAAATTTTCGTCTTTAGAGATTTTTGAGAAAGTTTAAATTTTTGGTAGGTACCTGTCTGCTATTTCATTAGTATAAGAATATTTACTTGTTCCTGAAGTTTAGTTGCTTGTTCTTTGTGCCAAAGAATGGCAGCGTCCGTTTCTAACTCTTTTCTTCTCCTGTAGTTCTTATCTGTACGGTACAATTCATACGATACGCAAATCATCACGACCACAAAGAATACTGATAAGGCTATCACTATTATATTTCCGGTTTTATCTTCTTGTACAGATGTGGTTTTATACCTGGCTTTATAAAGTATTCTTTGTGGTGCATCTTCAACCCAAGTTTTGTCTTTACCCTACAAAAGACGTATCTGGTGTACTTAGACGTATTAAAGATATAATTGTAATATTGTTCATTTACCTGGCTAATATTTAGGAAAAACGTTTCTTCCGGTATTTTATGGGGTATGTCAAAATTAGAACTGCACTGGGCACTTCTGACCCCGTGTGAGTTTGAAACGTTTACCTTTTCAGCCCCTGTTTTCGTGAAAAGCATGTACTCTTCAAGAGGTTTCATTACATGTTCGTTAACCTCAATAAAAATGTCTGAAAATTAAACGTATTAGTGAATTAATTTTACCCACTATATATAACCTCAAATTAATGAGGAAAAAATTCAAAGTATCTTTAAAAATTAAATTTAAAGATTGATTAGAGTAGGACAAAGAATAGAAAAGACTTGACGGTTCATATTTACTTGATAAGCAACCGCTGTAACCCTTGTAAATAGCAAATCTAGGATCGGTAGTGTTATGGCCACCTATTTGGACCTCGTTTGCGCCCATTTCTGGTACATTAGTAAACGTCTGTGCAGGTATTTGGTCCATTGGTATCTCCTCTTTGTCAACCAAAAGTTCCGAAACGTTGTGGTCTCGTCGATAGTATACTGAGTGACGAGCACCATTGATGAAACTTTTATTTTGAATAGTTGTACTAAAAACGGCACCTTCTCTGTCTTCCTGGACGATTAGAAAACCTTCTGGGCTTAGACCGACCAGTAGGTAGTAGCTTCGGCTGGAATTATTGATTTTTTTAAAATCTTTGAATTTTTTTTCAATACTAATTAACGTTATACGCTAACCATCAAATAAATCGAAAAGAAATTTTTCCTTTACCTATTCTCTGTTTGAAGAAGTAAGAGGACGGTATTCTTTTGTCGGTTATCCATGCTCGAAAAAGCTAATTGAATTTTGACATGATCTACTGACCCATTTAGTACGTACTCTCTCCATAAAATCGACTCCCCGCTAAAGTCTGCACCTTTTTCGTCCGAACAAAATTCGCCATAATAACTCGTATGTTCACAGTTGCAGGTGTGATCCTGTTTTTGAAAATCTTCAATGCACAGACCTTGATTTTTGCATGGCATTTCGTCACACTTCATGTTGCAATGCTCGATAACACCTAGTTATTGATAATATTTTATATGTTTTGATACAAAGCAGATGGTGTAAAGAAGAAGGTTAAAACTCATCATGTTGTTTGCCAAAACTGATAAAATAGAATGTTTGAATTGTTAATCTCAGTGTTTTTCTTTTACAAAATTTATGTGAATACCATTTAATTATCAGATGCATTTTAAAATAGAAAAAATTAACGAAAACGTAATTGCAATAAGTTATAACGTTTATGTTAGTTTTCAGTAAATTTTAATTACAAAATTCTCAAAAACAACTGATAAATTGTTACTTGCCTAGCCATTTTGAAATCTACATGTCAAAAAATTGAGAAAATTAAGGATATCGATAAATAGATAGAACATGAAAGTAATGATAAAAAAGTTCGCATTTAGATACCTGATTTAATATTCTTAGCTTTAGATGGCAAATCTATTAAAACTTCTCCCACTGAAAGTCCCCTCATGCATCCAATATATCCGGGCAACACCGGAGAATAGTCAGAAATTTTGATTAAACTTTCTGGTTCGAAGCCACCGATATTAATTTGGAAATATTCTGTGGGTGGAGCGGGCGGTCTTTGGGGTGCCAGGACCTCTATAAACAAAAAGGAACCTAAATTTTTAGAAAAATTAATAACGTTTACGTTTTAATGTACCATTTTCTGGATTGGCCCATGGTTTACTAGAATATTCTTCCAGGAGAAGCACCCCAATGGGGATCGTTTTGTTTTTTTCGTTGACATGGAGGGTTGTATAGTTTTCATATCGTTCTACAGCAAGTTGTACTGATCTACTTGTGTTTAAATCGGGATGATCCACGCTTATGTTGAATATTTCATTTCCGTAGTTGAATAGATAAATTACTTCGATCCCATTGTCTATATGAATCTGCACGAAATTGTTAAGGTGATCGTTGGCGTATAATATTAAAGCCCTTTGGTCGTACGTTCTCAAATTGAGTAATAGTTGTCCTTGGAATATGTTTTTCAATGCTTCTTTTTCTTCAGATTCATCTGTTGCTAGATAATTTCTTTTTACGTATGATTCCGATTGAGTGAACATAAGAGCGTTGGTATTTATATCTGGAAAAGATAATTATTTTGTACTTTATTGACAATATATGATATCGATTATCAAAAATATGTGGCTACTGTTAATGTTTCAGCTTGAGAAAGTTAATAGTTGATAGCCACTTTAAGAAAAAATTGTACAAGTTTATTCACAAGTTGTGCGTTCAAAAACAAATACAAGATTGGTTTTGGTCATAGCTATTAGTCTTTCACATTTGATATTGTTCTTGTATATTTGCTCTTTATCATAAAAAATTGATATTTTCACATTCTTGCTTTTGTGTTAGTATGGTTTTGATATTGGGTTCGTAAAATACATCTCCAACATTGAAGTTGACTTTACTCATTCTCTACGTACTATTTTCACAAAATTTCCCAGTGTAGGCCCAAGGATTTGGACATATGCATTCGAAGGTGCTCCACAGTTCTTTACATTGGGCCCCATTTTGACAAGGATTTGGGACACACGATGGTTTACAATCCTTGATTATTTCGCTCAGATGAACGCTCATGTAACTATAAATGTCTAGAATCTCTTCATTGACGACCAAGCCTCTAAAACATCCTATTAGACCTTGATGAACTGATGATTTTGGGTGCAACAAATCACTATAAAAAATTGTTTATGAAAATTTATTTCACCAGTGAAGTATTTTGCCTTACTATGGCGCTCCTCCAATGAACATTGATCCTTCAAATGGTCCAAATTCTTCTTCTGGTTTCAGATCGACCATTTGATAGTCTTCGTTAATCATAAATCTGACATGATATTTATTATAGTCTATCCAAAGTTTGTGCCACTCTCCCCCATTTAATCGTCTGTTGGAGACTATGACAAGTTCTTTCGCTACACCGGTATTCAACGTAAAATTAAACGTCAGTTGATAATCTGCGAAACATTCAAAGTCAATATCACTTAACAAATTTTAATACTCTACACTTACTTACCACTTGTAAGAGCAACCATAAAACTGGGATATTTGGGTCTTATCGGAGGCTGATATAAGAGAATCGCCTTTTTGCCGGTTGTTCTGAATGAAAATGCTAAATCGCCTTTTCTCCACCCCGGTACTTCTATGTACGATTGACTTGTAGTGAATGTGACAACATATCTTTGTGTATCTGAAAGGGGAAAACAATTATTCTCATGGAATTGGTTTGGCTTCCGTTGAAATTCGAAAACGTACTTGTTTCAACACATTCCAGTGGTCCTAAAGTAACACGTCCGAGAGCATCTTCTGGAAGGTCAGGCTGTTGCAAAAAGATCATCTGTGTTATACCCAAACTGTTTCCTGCAATGTAATACCCATCATCAGAGTTCCATTTGTCATCTTCCGCGTCACAGTTGCACCACTGAGAGGGATCTTCGCAACTTCTATTTAAAGAACATGGGCAAGTTCCCCTACGGTAAAGAACACCTATGTCTACAATGCCGTCAAGAAAGAAACAAGGAATTTACCTTTTAACGTTTCCAATGTAATCTATTGTAAGATTTGCAGAACTTATAAACCACGTCGACGAGTGTAGGTCCAAGGGAGCTTTGAAACAATCGTATTTGATGTACTGACTGCAATTTAACGAATGAGAGACGAGTTCTTGAAGCATATCAGGTGTGAATTCTCTGTATTTTATGGTAAAACTAAAATCTTTTTCGGACGGTGATCTAACATCGATTTGACTGGGAAGATTGTGCTCTACGATGGTTTTGGTGGAATCTTCCAGACTTTGAAATTCGCATCGTACGTGGGCCGGTGGAAACCTACCATTTCCATCGATGTCTATCAAATAAACGTCGGGTTTCGTATATCCTGAAGACAAAACATAGAACAGGATAGTTAAGATTCAATTTAGAATTGATGCATACCTAAAAGGGCTAGTTCTTCGCACGTTTTTCTATATTTCGCGAAATGGCAATTCTTTCCGATATAACCAGTTCCAGTACAATCGCAAATGAGTCGGTCTTCTTTGACGGAACACTTTCCATTATGCTCACAAGTGTTTGGCCTTCTGCAGGGATCCACAAATTGGCAATCGTCTATGGTAACTTCTCCAACAACCCTCTCAGTTTGAAGAATGAATCTCGGATCTATTCTGGCACTATTCACCACAATGTTTCTCATACATCCAACTAATCCTGCGTTATTCCTTGACCCACTTCCTAACTTAACCTTATCGCCCACTGAAAATTTAAGCTCGCTTAGTCTCTCCTGCTTTTCTCTGTTATCTAGCTTCAGGGTGACGTTTCCATGTTCGTAAATCAGTTCTAAAGAGTGCCAAATGCCTCTGGTCTTCTTCACGCTTATCAAATGTGTCGAGTTTTTGTTCGAATCAGCCAGTTCGAAGCGAACTTCGTCATTCACTACCCTTATTTCCCAGTAGAAGCCTGTTTTGGCTTCGCTTGACGCGAGAACGCTCAAATTACTGCTACTCTTGTAGTCAAAAGCAAGGGTAAGTTGGTCAGTCTGATTATTTGGCCACCAAATGTAGGAGGAAGAAAAGGGATATGTAATGGGAATGACGTCAACATCTGCTTCATAGAATTCGGGACGTAGGATCCCAATGTAATGCACTTTGGGATTCATTTTTTTCAGTTCGTAAATGATAGAGATATCGTTGTAAAAAACATATTTGATACAGCCTGTAAGTACATTAAGATAAATTATTAGTTGTAATCACTAGCTTAAAAAGAATCCCAAACCTGCAAAGTTGTTTCCTGAAAGTAACCCGATCCGTTTTTGCAGTTCAGGTCCCCCACCGATATAAATCTCTGGATCGATGTAAAGCAGAGTGTTTCCGGTTATATTTAGCGTTACTTTTTCGTCGTTGAGGGACAAATGAACTTGATCATATTCGTGAAAGATTGTGAGGTTGTTCCACTCTCTGAGATTGGCGTTTTGTCCCAGGATTGCGTTCAGGGGTCCGTCCCCAAAATCCATATTTATATAAAGTGAGTTGTTGTATATCGACGCAGCTATGTAGTGGTCAATTCCTTGTTCACCCCCGCTCGCGTAGAATAATGCAGAATCGTCAAAGTTTGTTTTGAACATCATCGAAAGTCGATTGATCGCGGAATGGACCCTGTCTTTCCAATCGTAGACTCTGTAGGAGACATATGAGGATCCTCGGAGAGTCAGAACAGTTGCAGCTACAAGATAAAAATGTTTATGATGATGAAAACGCCATTTTAGTGAAGCAAAGTTTCGTATGCAAAGTGATTACCTAAGCAGCATCAATGTTGCGGTAACTTAGATGGGAACTTTGAATAAGTAGTTATTACGTAATTATGACTTAAACGGACTTATTAATTTTTATTACTTTTATTTAGATGGTTTGAGTAATTACATAGCATTTATCACTAAATAATGTAACTTCTGAAGTATGTAGAACGGAATTGTTACTGTGCAAAATTACTCTAAAATCACGCTAACTTTAAAGTTATATTCGCAATTACTTAGTTATGTTAGTTCTTCATCCCTTTAAAGTTTTTATTACATAAAAGTACATTTTTGCGACTTTAAAAATTCCTTCAAAGTTACGGAACTGTGTAATAATTTTTGTTTTTTTTTTGTTTCAAAATTACTGTAAAGTTCTAATTACTTCAAAAAAATACTTCTATATATCAATTTGCTCTGTACTAAAATAAATATTTTTTCAAAATTTCGCAGAAAAAAGGCGAATTGAACAAAATTGAAGACATATAACTTGTAGATGTATTAAAAAAAAGTGTTTTTCAGAATTTTTAAGCAATTTTGCACATTTTTGTCATTAACGTCAATACGACTAAAAATGCTGCTTGGGTAGGAAATACTTATTAAGGAAATAAAAAAACTTGAAATTAGGAAAAGTGCAGTTACATGATATAAATGATTAGAAATCAACGAGTTGTGTGACTTTGAATTCGGCAATTTTTTATAAATTGGCATATGTGTAGATATTTAACAACATTTGATTTAGTATAGGACCCTCGTCAAGGATTTTATTATTGGATCTCTGCTCATTACGTACTGTAAATGTCGCAGAATTCCCCCTCGTAATTAGTTCCGAAACAATCGCACGTGAGAGTGTTGTAGTGGTTGACACAGCGCGACCCTTGAAAGCAGAGATTTTCGTAAGTGTCGCACTTGTTGATGCATCCCTCCTGAACGTTTTCGTGTTTCGTTGCCACCAAAGGGGTGATCGGTAGCATGTCGGACGCCGATTTTCCCGCTGATAGAACAACGTCTTTGATGCACCCAACAAACGATTCAATTATGTACTTGACACCGTGTAAACGCTCTTCGGAACTGAGACCTATTACAAAAAAGACAATATTCATCGATTGAGTTTTATTTTTTATTGTTATCAGAAGCAAATAAATTCCAATTTGCCTTAGATTCAAACTACAATTAGCGAGCCTAACATTAATAATCAAAAATCATGTACGTGGTTACTGAAAACTAATTAAGGGTGTTTTGAAAAATTGGAGCAATTTAGGGATGTTTATATCACAGAAAAATAATGGTGAAATTTCGATTAAACTTTGAAAAGAACAACACTTTTATATAAAAGAAATCTTTAGAAAATCAGGAGAATACTTTATAAGAGATATTAAATAAACAAATTAGATAGAGCAATACCTCCAATTAAAACTACAGATGTTAAATTAGAAGAGACGCCGTAATTGTTTTCCTTATGTAATCCTTGCAGGTCCATTTCTTCTTTTAAATCATCTACAATCGCCGTGAGACGAGCGCCATGCACATCAATTCGAACCTTAAAAAGTACATTCTTGTTTTTAAACAAATAATTAAGTTTTATGAAAAAAGAATAGAATTTAACTTTCAAATCAATAAATATTTAGCAACTGATTGTATCTAAACTTTCTTCAAATGATAAGGAATCATTAAAAACTTCAATTTCTAATCAAACTTGTTCCCAAAAAGGGTTTTAACGTGTAATCATAGATGATATTAATAACAATTATCTTAACGAAAACAATGCATGAGAATTTTAAGTATTTATAACTAGCTCAATCTAGTTCGTACAAGTCAATAGTCTAGGAGTGCGGTCCAATTACCGACCCCGGAAGGATAAGTCTTATTGTTAATAAATGACTGGAAGTGTTTTTGGATATGATTCCCTACTACTATTATTACGTCTACGTATTTTTATTTAAAATTTTTAAAATCAATGTCAATTTTATTATATCTTAATTGTAACTTTGAAATACAATTAATTTCGTGCATAAAAACTTATTTAATAATAATAAAAAATTGTAATTTGTAGCTTTTTAGCATCACTAATTTTAAACTGTTTTTGTTGCAGCTATGGTCATGTAATCAAGTACTCACTCAAAGGTCAAAGGAATGGAAAGGAACAACTAATCAATGTAAGTCATATCTTTTATAATTACTTTGACTATAATGAATGATCAACTAAATTGTTTATACTAGGTAGTCTTTTCGTTTACAATTTTATTTGATATTCTTTAATTCATAATAGTTTGGTACTGATTGAAATGGAGAGAATTTTATGGGCACAGGTTATTTTTATTAATGTCAGTATAAGTATTTCCATAATGAATTTCTTTTCTGTATATAATCTTCGATATCTGCGAGTTTAACATAAACGTGGGACACTCTTAATTAAGAAAATACTACAAATGGCGCGGTAAACGCCATCTGTAGTACGATGCTATATTTTAGGATTACGTATGCTCCAACAAGGTCCATTTAAACATATAGATATCTACTTGCTGAAACGAATCCCGGCGTAGCTAACCACTACGTGATAGGCACGTTACCATAATCGAATTCTGTCGGAGCTGTCTGCGATGCGCTGATGAGATCCAAAAGATCGAAATCGCGATCCGCGTCTGGCAGTTTCGACAGAATACAGACCACTTAGAATTATTTATATACTCTTAATTAAATTTGTGTTTGTTAAAATAGATAAGTATAGGCACATACTGTAACAGAATGCCATTCGTCCCTATTTAATCCACGTCCTACAGTTAATGCAGTAGAGTGCTTTCCATAAACGTGAACTACTTTGAGCTGTCCTTGTTGGACTATAATGTACAGGGCGTAGGGATGTAGAGGTATACCCGATGGTACTTTCACGTTGTGGTATACTAGAAGTCCATGGGGTAGTCTTGTTCGAAATCGGAACGAAATTTGTCTACAAAGTCTGTAAAAGCATAATATATTTTACTATTACTTCATCCACCTAATCCCACAAAAAAGGATTCAGGTCAAAAATCTGTTGCTACCCCGCGGATATCAAAGGCTAACTTAATCAGAATAGACTTTACATCGGACTACTATACAAATCAAAAGATCGTTTTAGGACTTAGAGATAATTAGCAAACATTTTTGCGTATAATGATTTTTAAATCCCTTGTTTTGATTATTTAAAAATTATTAATTGGATAACAACTTTACTGAGTTGCTCAAACAATTAGTTTTCAATGTGCAAGTCACAAAGACAAAATGCAATTATGCATTTCCCATATATTTTATTGAAATGAAATAAACTGTTGCTGTATTAATATTCAAACCAGGTAATTAATGTAATTTTCATTAATTTTATTGATTCTAACTTAACAATGTGTTCCGGCTTCTTCAGGAAATTACATGTAACTTTAGTAATTACTTACAAAGCAGAAAAATTACCCTAATGCCAATGTGTCATTTAAGATGGAACATCTAAGACTATTATAAAAATTACCAGGGCGGGTGCACCTNACTCTTGTTTTCGAAACGTATATTTTAAAGTATCCAAAATTCGAAAAATCTTAGTTTTTAATTTTATAAAGAGGTAATTATAAAACGAAGTAGCACCGAGTTAATAATTAACGTTTAATTTAGTAAAGTTTTTGTTTTTTGTTATTAAATTATTTTCTTTATAAATGGTCGTAAACCATTTAGATATATTATGTACATTTTGATATAATTTCAATATTTCTCACTAAAAAACATGATTTTTTTCGACTTTTAGCAACTTAGAAACTACTGGAGTTGACTTCTAAATCATTAAAATCGGTCATGAATTAGTAAGTCAACTAAATTAATATCCGCTAACTTTGGCGCCCCCTGGACCCCCACTAAAATAGTATTTAAGGGTACCCCTGCAGGCCGATAGGAGTTACTGTTCTTCTTTTTACTTAAATACTATTGGAGAAGAGGGTTAAAATTAGATTACTTAGATCTATATGCTCATTAAAATTAAAATCTTATGTGATTTTACCTTCTGACAATAACAAATTTGAATTCAAAAAGCCTTATTAATTATTCTCGTCTTGAATAATAACGAAATTCTTACCGTAGTTGAAACGTTTGTATTACATCTCCATCAATTTGAATGAATGTATTTGATTGAGCAAACATGAAAGTATTTTGTCGACCTGTTTCCAGAAATGTCAAACGAGATCCCCGATCTTCTAAAGGTAACGCCGTTGTAGTATACTTTTCGGATGTTGACACTGTAACAAAATTTCATTAAAATGATACTAGATGAAACACTTTGTCAATTAATAGCGGTTATTAAATCAAATATTAATGTGAAAATTCATTTTTAATTTTTACCCACTATTGAATAAAATAATTCGAAGTGGTCTGTATTCTGTCGAAACTGCCAGACGCGGATCGCGATTTTGATCTTTTTGGATCTCATCAGTGCGAATTAATTTATAAATTTGAAAAATGTTTAGTGTCGGAAGTTGAATTTTTCGGATTTTTTTGTGTAGTATACTTTGTAAATGTAAAAATATCTAAAACTGTTTATATTTTACTACTGTATCCCATCCTTATTAGGACGGATGGGATGGTACCATTCTCAATGGTACACATTACTTAGTATATTTTAACCATGATGTTTCTCCACACCGTACTTTAATTTTTTTACAATATCATATTCCATAAGGTTTCTTATTATTTATTTATTAATGCCATTAAAAACAACTTACGCTTTTTCCCAGTACAAGAACGTAAACATATAAGTTCGGAATCGAATCGGTTTTTGTCATTTCCGCCACATCCACCCCATATAAACATGACACAGCCTTGTTTCTCGGCATCGTAGGCCCATTTATAAAGGGACCTATTACAGGGTCCTTTATCAGCCGGACCCGGGCAGGGAAGATTCGTTTCCCTAAAATTGTAACCCTCCGAAGTGGGAAGGTTTATCACAGTCAGAATGCACACCAGTTTGAACGCTGTAACAAAATTAAAAGTTGAGATAAATTTAAATTAATTCAATAAGTATAAAATCCTATAGGTACATATAGTACTTGTTACAATAATACTCAAATGTATTTATCCCTTTTTAGCAAAAACCACGCAGTTAATCCATAAATAATTTCTTTCTTATTGTCTTAAACATATTTTTAATTAAAATAGTTTATTATTAAATGATTTTTATATTAAATTTCCATATTTATATTGAATTTTGGAATTTGATTTTTTTCAGTTTAATACTACTTCTGTCTTTAGTTGAAATTTCAATATACCCGTACATACATTTCATTTCAAATTAAATTTCTTTCATCAATCAAATCAAAAATGAGAAAGTAAGTATTTATTTTTCTTGTTAAATACTTTAGTTTTATCAGAATTTCTTAAGTCTGGTTCCTTTTCTTTTGTTCTATTGTTCTATCCTACATAAGATACGAAAAATAAAACGAAGTTTTCAGTGCTTACCCTTTGCACTGCAACGGAAGCTGCGTGACGTCATGCGGCTCGGCAGCCGAACAATCTTCATCATCATCATTATCGTCGCGATCATTGTGTACGGCAATGTTGTCGTCGGTTGCAGTGGTGCCAATTGAACGGATTGTCTTCCACGTAGTTTGTTCGTGTGTTTTGTTGCGGTTAAACAAATTAGTCAATTGTTAGATCGCAATCCGGACCACTGACGATGACGGGCGCTCGATTTTATTACTTGGACTCGGTCACCTTGCCACACAGTCATTTTTTTCATCACGACACGTCATTAATAGTCCACGAGGGTAAATCCGACACTAATATCGACAAGAGGTTCTTTGCTCTCTGGTCAACTGTAGTGATTTTTTTTTATCTTCAGTCAGTCATTTTTGCAATAAAAGAGTCCTCTAAATAACAAAAAAATAAAAATTCAATGTGAATTTTAAAGTCATGTCAGGAAAATTTGTGGTAAAGGTCTAGATGATAGCCCCCACCCCCTTCGGGTGGTGGGGATGGGGGGATCGAAATAGGAGGTCTCTTCCACCACTGTACCATAAAAAGTTCGTGGCGGTCTCACCCCCATAAAAAGTTATGGGGGTTCAAAGTTAATAAATATGCCAATTTTTATACATTTCTAGGCATGTAAATATTTATATAGTCATTCTTAAACAATATTCAAAGGTAAAACTAATGGAAAAATACATAAAAATATTGAGAAAGTTATATAAAACATTATTTAAATACATAGCTTTATCAATAGGGCAGGTTAGGTTAGGTTATTGGGTTTTGTTCAGTGACCAACCTCTTTTTATCCCCCACCTCCACCCGCTTGAAAATATTTTTTTTATTGAATTTTATTTGAATTATAGTGTATGAAAATTGTTAAAATAATCAACTTTCAACCTCCATAACTCCTTATGGGGTGAGACCGTCGCAAATTTTTTATGGGGTTTTACTCAGGTGACCACCCTCTTTCGATCCCCCCTACCCCCCCATCTAACCCCCATAACTTTTTATGTGGTGGGGGACACCTCGTCTTTCGATCCCACCCACCCCCACCCCGAAGAAAAAGAAATCAAATTGATAGATTCAATTTCGCCACATTTAATAATCTATGAAGGAATATCCCCGGGTGGGAAAAACTTTTATGTAAAGTTGCATTTCAGTTGAAGAAAAAAAAATGTATTGTGACTTGGTGCCCTCACTTTGTCTAAATACAAATCGAACCAGTTTCCATATCGATAATTTTTGGAACCTTTATTAAAAGCTCACTCCGTTATCCTCCTATCTGACTAAAGAACATCTCACTGATTTTATCAAATCCATAGGGCACTTCTAGTTTAGCCTTAGACCTCAAATTGGAATCAAGGAGAATCTTATGACAGAAAATCACGAATTTCTAACTGTTATAGTATTTATATCTAAATAATGTGCTTGATATTACTTATTATTGCGAGTATTTCTTTGAATTGATGCATTCTATTAATTGCATTGCATAGGGTTTAATTAGTCCGAAGTTTTGCCTAAAAGCTGCTTAATAAGATGTACCCAAATGCTGTGGAAGGGTGTCCTGTCTTGATATAATATTAAAACCCTTGTTAAGAAAGGTCACTCTCTAAGTAAGATGTTGTGATCCAAAATTTTTTTAACATGGCCCAAAGTTAGTCTTTAATGAGCTTTTAGTTTTGACTTCTTCAGATTCGAATTTGGACAAAATGACGGTTTCAAGTCGCAACACAAGAAAAAAGATCGAATTGCGAGGAAATTTTGAAAAATAAAGGGAGATATAAGGGTACTGATTTCTTTAGTATCTATGCCATGTAGATTAATTAATATCCCAATACATATACTTTAGATTAATAGAGAATTAAATATTCTTAAACATTCGGATACTTGCAGCAGCTATTATGTTAGGATTATTGATGATTTATTAAGTAAGCTTGCAGTTTATACAATTAATAAACCATGTTTATATAATAATAATTGCATTTTATTCTACAAATATTTTAAGTAAACATTAAAAGCAATAAAAACGAAACAGATAAGGGAAATCGGTCAGGTGCGTCAGGGGCTTACAATTTTACTGCAGTTTATGTAATGAAATGTATATATAGGACAGAGTAGACGTAGTTTTAAAAGACGTACATGTGAACATAAAAAAAATTCTGATGTTAAACAATGACGAAGACGAATGATGTTTATAGACAGTTTATAACCCTTTGTTGTGAAAACGCTGGAAATACACCAATACTTAATTTAGTTTTAAATGATTAATTAGAATTAGATATTAATAATGCAAATTTACACTGTAGCATAAATATTAATTTTTTTAGCGACAACGCTCCTTCTTTTGTTTATTGGGTGATTAATTTGGGGAAGTTAGATACGATTTATGAATCCCAAATGATAATGTAATAGTACAACCATTTCAGAGTAATTAAGATCATTAAAACGGAAAATTTATGTTACTCTGTTTTAGATGCTAGCGTTAATTTTTTAAATAAATTACCTGCACTGTTTACAAGGTGATTTACTTACTTACTGTTTAATAAACTGATTAGAGTTTCAGTTACTTACGGAATACCAAATCTCGTTAATTTTTTTTCGACATACCTATAATGTTAGTGTTACTATGATACTTTTTGCGAGTTTAAAAAGATATAATAAATCGTCTGTATAGTGCCTTATTACAGCTAAATCTAGACATAATTTTCTTATTAAATATACAAACAGTATTGCCTGAGCAGTGCTGTAGATAGATGCTTGGATTTAATAAATTGTGTAGTGGGCAATAAAATTTCCCAACCATAATTCCATTAAGTGTAATTAAGGAACAGTACAAACATGTTAAACTACACCTCTTTCAATTACAACTAATAAGGGAGATTTTCAGAAATCATTAATTTAATAGCATGTTGTGCATTAGAAGAACAGAGGACTCTATGAAAGTCAATAAAAAATAGGCGAGATACGTTGGTAGGACACCTTTTCAGGCATGAAGGTCTAGTCAGAGACATATTAGCGACAGAAACAGGAGTTAGGAGGGGTAGAGGTAGACCTAGATTAGATTACTGTTCGCAAATAGTTAAGGATGTAGGCTGTTATAGTTTTAGGGAAATGGGAAGATTACCTCAGGATAGGAAAGAGTGGAGGTACGTGTCCAACCAGTCTTAGGACTGACGATCTTATGATGATGATGATGATGATGTGCATATTTTTTGCTAGAGATTTTGTTACAGAAAATTACGAATTCTGTACATTTAAAGTACGTAACAAGGTAAAGCGTAAGTCTTCATCTGTCTATCTCTTTATCAGTAATGATTTAAACATTCGAAAGGTCGTATTTATCTCATGTCTGATAAAGAATGTTCTAAATCGATACAGCGCCAGACATTAGTCATTTTCTGGGTAATAAAATTACATACTAACATTAATCTATACCACCCGGTTTGTTACATAATAAATAAGTAATGTCTAGGGGCTGTTAGAGACGTTGGACTAATAAGAAAAATACTTAAAGAAGTAATGACGAGGAGGTACCAATAACGTCCAATTTCCGAGTAAAATAAAGATTAATTATATTGGAATGTAACTGCAGTACATATTTTTTTCTGTAAATAGACCATTTTCATGGGATGTCGCCTTTGAGGTAGCAACTTAGCCACTATAGTTAAGGGCGTCAACTTTTAGGGGAGTAGGGGCACAGCGCAAGTTAATTATAATCATAGGTAAAACTAATGAATCTTAAATTACTTTATTACCATATCCCACTGCGAGTACGATGTTTTTTTTCTGATTTCAGAGACGAAAGTGTAACATTCCTTTCGGCGTAAGCAATCGCATTTACTGTTCATTAGTAACGGTTTTACCACTTTCTTCGTGTGGTTCTTAAAATACTATCCTAATAAACAATGTCTAAATGCGATTTCTTACGTGGAAGGTTAAGTTGGGCTTTCGTTTCTTAAATCAGCATAAATCTTCATACGCCTGGTAGGGATGTAGCACCGCTTAGGGGCGAACGCAGAAAATATTTTCGGAAGGGTTTTCATAAAGAATATTAAATATAAGTTATTTTTGCACATCAAATTTGAATTGGTGGAGATGTTAAAAATTACCAATGACATAAAATACACAAAAGAAGTAAATAAACGAAATTTAACTATTTCTAAAACTGTCAATAAATACGCTGTTTTAATAAAGCTAAAAATTATTTCATGCATATTTTCTGTTTGTTTTCAAAAATAACTTTTTACGTACTGTATGTCCTGAAACTCATTAAAGAGGTCCTTACGTAGAGATTTCTTGAGGGCGCCACATACCTCATTTTGATTGATAGATGTTTTGTTAGAAAAATCATTTCCAAAAAGGTTTGAACCTCAATTTCTTTCATTAGTATTTGTTAGTTGAGTATATCATGTGATGGTCACATGTACTATACGTCTGACAGACGATATAGTTTTTATCATACTTGCTTTTTGTGAATAATTCAGTAATAACAAAATTGCAGGAAAAGTCGAGTTTAAAATTATGCAATTCTGTTTTATACCGTCCTTGAAAGAAAACCAGTAAAGTCATGGAGAATTAATGTCATGAGTAATTCAAAAAGTCACTACACCTTAAATTCTGTACCACCTACTTATATTAGGTATAATATTTACAATGTACAAAATTTTACTTAATTTAGAGAATTATAAAAATATAGTGCGTAAAATAAAATTTAATGGATGTGATGTTTCTTGGTTCAATTTACCTTGAAAAACAAAATTTTAAGGACAGCTGTTCTAATTATTTTTAAGATCTATAAGAGATAAGAGCACCATTGAGCAATAAGTAAGTAAGTAAGTAAGTAAACGTCAATATTATAGTAGGTATTATTTTTAATAATTATCAAAACTTCTTACATAATATGAACTGACTTTTCAACGGCTATGATAAAGGAAACAATTTATCGGTTAGTTACTTCATTGATATTATATTCTAAACATTGATAAAAATTGACGATCAAGTGCTAAATGCAACTTTGGTCAATATATATATTATATATATGTACCTAGATGGGGTATTAAATGTACGAAAAATTTTAAATTAGTTATTCTAGGAAGGGTTGAGATAATTGTTGAAAAACCCCCTCGTTTTAGAGACGCAGTCCTGCAAATGTTTTTAGAGAAAATCACGTTTGATGTTTTTAAAAATTTTCCTGTAGCCATAGTCTAGATAGAGGGTATTACATTAGGTTCGTTGAGTACCTATAAATAATATTCGATTTTATCTTTTAAAAAAATATTCAAAAAAAAAATGCATTTCGCGTTTTCTTTGAGGAAAATGCAGAATAGAATTAGATTTCTCTAAACTAGTTGTTCATAGTAAAAAATCAATGTTTTCCTCAACTACTGAAGTGTCATGTTAA